GGACGGGGAGGGGGGGGGGGAGGGGAGGGAAAGAGGGTAACAAAGACGGACGACCGTGTTTTTATTGGGACAAGAGGGCGGGCGGTAAAAACAGAATGAACATAACACGACGAATTCCGTGTCTATTTTTCAGAACGACCGGCAGTCCGGCCAGCAGCAAGTCCCCGGCAAGTGGCAGTGGCGGCCCTACGAGCGGTGGAGCAGGTGCGACCGCGGCCCCGGGTGGCGGTGCCAGCAATGCCGGAAGCGCGGAACCCCGCACGCCAAACGCTGGACCGCAAAATAAACAATTGCAAAACGTCAAAGGAGAACATCCCTCGGTAAGCTCTTGGACAACCACTCGACCGGCTTTATCAACGAGATAATGTGGCCAGACGTGAAGAGAATCGCGAGAAAATCGTGTCGAATTCGAAGTCGTTCGTAGATTTCGTCGTGGCAGCGTATCTGGAGGTGATATTGTACCGTAGAAATTTTGTATCAAAAGTATTGTAAAAAATGAGAAAATATTGTAAGAAAATATGTAAATAGGCTTTGACGAAATTGAACTGAAATGAGAGAAACAAGGTCTCTCTAAGGCTTGTATTAATAGTTACTTAAAGTTTATCTTACGTGAAGTTGTCAGATACTTCAGAATTAGATTCAAGTTCTTCAGTTGAATTATGTGTTATATGTGATATATATCTGCAATCGCAATTCAACTGAAAAGCTCTCATCTGAACTCTGGACTCAAACTTGAGTATCTCATTTGAAAGGAGTTTTAAATAACAACTAAGAGCTATTTCGCGGTTGTCTGTCGCGAAATTAAATTTGTATTGTGGGAGAATAATTAAAGGAAATCGAAAGATGCATAGAGGGATAGGGAGCGAGTATTAATGGTATTAATAACAAGCTAAAACTATATGCGTTATCGGATTACCACAAATTGTCAAGGGGAAGAAATTCAGGAATAGGGTGTCGGGTTTCACGTAGCCTAGATTTCCCGCAGGATCCTAGAGAGAAACTATGCAAAATTTGGCTCAGATCGATCAAAGGGTTTAGGAAGTTAATAGGATACATAGAAATAGAATAGATATTTTATTATATATATATATATATATATATATATATATATATATATATATATATAATTTGGGTAAAAAGTTAATTTTACGCAAAAGGCTGATTTGCCAGGTATGACCTAGGCTATAAGATTACGTGAGTCAGATATTATCATCCTCTTCCAATATGAATTGCAATAAAAGTTACGTCAAAATTATGTTTCTTTTTACAACGTTTTTCGTAAGGCTCTGGGCTATATTATGGAACTGTAGTATAAATTATTATATATGGAAGAAACAGTACGATTGATCCATACATGAATCTAGTTGTACCGGGTTGGCACAACTCGATTTATGTGTGAGCTAGTCATACTGTTCTTTCTATGTAAAAATAGTAAATCTAATGATTTATCCTGCTGTATGATATAAAAAACAAGTAATTTTGTAGGAAAAGATGCGTAACATTTTCGATCGAATGACATAGTGATATCTCTCATTATTCCGTATGGTTCAAGATTACGAGAATTTTGTTGTAACTTTTACTGCGATACTTACTCTATGCGCGTGAAGTATCAAAGTTAATAATATAAAGTCCTCGTGGGAAGTATAATAATTACCGATGTTACCATTATCTGTTACGGGATTCTCGAAAACACAGAGGCAGTAACAGCGTTACTTTCTTTTCGCGTCTTTTTTTCTCAATTTGAAAGGATGCAGAGAGTAATGGTGTTAAGAGGCGAGCTTGAGTCGCGCGCGCGACAACGTGCGCGACGGGCACACCCGTTTAAATGCGATTTCAAGAGAATCCTTTTAGACTGGACTGTCTAATCGCATTTCCTTCCGGAGTATACTGTTCCGGGAAGCGGGTGGAAATGCCCGAAGATGGATCGTCCTCTCCGGAACAAGGGAGCGATTGTAACGATCGCGTCCACGGCGCGCGTGTGTTGCAGAAAGCGTTCCTACAAAGTAGGTCCATCTCCCTGGTCGACATGTACATCGATAATTCGGAACCGAGCGAGAACGTTGGCCAGATCCACTTCAGCCTCGAGTACGACTTCCAGAACAGCACGCTTATTCTGCGCATCATACAGGTCAGTCGAAATTTCGCGTTGTGCCCGTTAGAACTTGGCCTTTGCGCAACTTGCCCGCCGGACATTCGCGTCGATATCGCGCGTATTTGCGCACGCCGTCGCATGCATCGATCGCGAGCGAAATACCGACGACCGTTCCCCTGCGGCCGGAGACGGTAATAATAATGCGAAAATATTATACACATACATACATACGCACGCGTGACACCGAATGCATTCACGCCCGATATATAGACATAGCGTCGTTTAAATGTATAATAAACGAGATCGAAGTTGGATCACCATTATCATAAGAAACAAGGAAGTCGCGATTACGCAATAATTGACGATGATCGCGTTTTGTTGGGGAGAAGTGAGACGGGAGACTTGAATTTATTTCCATGATTTTATTATACTCTTATTGGTCATATTTTGACTTATGATTTTATTATTTTATGATTTTATTATTACTTTTATTGCGCTACGTCGCGCGCATGTAGCGCAATGTGTCGCGGATAACGACAGATGTCTTGCAAATTCAGGGTGGAATTTCCTCTGATGGAAAATTCGACCGAACGTTCTTCTTTCACAATTGTTGCATGTATACATCGTGTCGTGTGTCATCCTCTTTTGAGAGGAAAGAAAGAAAAGAAACGAAGAAAACACAGATGAGAATCTATGTGGACCTCTATTAGCCGATTTCTTATCTCATCGACGCGCATGCCGATAAAAGCCGCCATAAATTGTCGACGAGACGCACGTTGCACCCCGCGGAAAACTGGGGCATCATACATTACTCCTGGTTACATCGGGTCTCTCTCTCTCTCTCTCTCTCTCTCTTTCTGTCTCCCAACTCATAGCGCGACTGTCTCGGGAAAAATAAAACCCGATTTCGCCGGGCAGAGACTTTTGTTGTAAACAAACGCATAAATTTCCGAACGTGGGATTTCGCCGCGCACGATTTAATCCGACATTAAGTGAAACACGGCTGCAAAGTCCACTGTTTTCTTTGTGTGCTGGCGAAGATTACTGCGTATGTGCCAAGAGCTCACAGCAATTGGGTGGCGTCGTAAGTGCACCATTTATACAACTAAATGTTACGATCGAAATACGTTATATGTATATGTGTATGTGTGCGCGCAGCCATAATTATGTCATATATTATTTGGTAGTTTCGACTCTTTATGATGCTCATGTGCGGTTATCTGAACAGAAATTATGCAGAAAGAATTTATTTTCATTTTATTATGCGACATTTTATAATCTATTTTATAGGGGGATATATATATATATATACGGCAAAAGATCGGATACAAACTGAGTGGGAAATTAAACTTTTATCAGCGTGCCTCTCTTACGAATTAAATAATCGAATACTTTACAAATCTCCGATGTAGTTTTCCCTCTTGTTAAAAAAATACATATATGTATATTTTATATATATATATATAAAATATACATATATATATTTTTGTATCCGATCTTTTCCCGTAAGACATATTTAATCGGTTTTAAATTGTGTTAAATTACTTAGCACAAAATTTCAGTGAGTCACGAGTCCAAACGTATAATAATTTAACAGGAAGGATATCTTGCCTTTTCTGTTCGCAACGGATTCGAGATAGACGCGAGATGCGGATGAAATTAAAATTTCACGTGGCGGCGAATCACGGGACAAGAGTGTGTGTAATCGCGTTTCCGCTTTATATTGCATTCTCGACGCGCTGCATCGAACCGTGTAAAAGCGCAAGGAGCGCGAAATGTGTCCGCCTGTCTCGCCATCCCGTCGATCTTCGCGAAATTTCATAATACACGTGCACAATGCAATCTTCGCGAGGCGTATCTCCGTGGTTCAGGTAATGCAGTTAATTTTCGTGCGCGAAATATGAATGTGTTTTCCGTACCTAGCGTGCCTTATAAATGGCCCGGAATGTATATCTCGCGACGAAAGTGGAACTGCGCTCCCAACCTTCTTAAAAATTTCTATTTTTATGAGTGCCTGTCGCGTCTCTCGCAGCGCGAAAATTTGTTGGCATCTCGGAAAGTTCAACCAAGCGTCACCAAAAGACGTCGCGTTTATTCCATCTCTGTTCGATATTTTTGCGGGGACGCGCCGTGAGCTCGAAGAGTTTCCCATATAGAAAATGAGCGCACCACGTACGTATGCGAAAACTCTTACAAAATTATAATATATATCTTACGTGAAATTTATGTCTCTACAGATTTGAAAAAATCCCAACTAGTTTATATTTATGAGAATTTCTTTCCCCACGTATGTAAATTTACCTTTTTCTTATTGCATAAGCAGTCCAAAATCTTTTGAATTTTCACACAGTAATTTCAAAGTTCGCCCACGAAGTTTTACAATATTCCCTTTATACACACATATACATACACTTACATACACACAGATATTCGCGCGCGCGCAGCGTACACAGACTCATTTTCCACAGAGAATTTAAGTGGGCATAATGACACTACGAAGTTCGTAGAAATGGTACGACAGTCAAATGAAAAATGATCTTCTAACTCGGGTTTAAACGCTTTTACGGTTATATCGCAATTTTTTAGCCAGACAGATCGTTACAGAAAGTTATGAGCCGAGAGGCGAACTTCGAGACGAGACTTCTTTTGCCAAATACGAGCGGTCACCAAGGTCGCCGAGAGCAGTATATCGATTTTGTTTGCCGTCCACGAAACTCCCATTAGCAACGTCGACTGTGTCGACGGGCACAAAGGGCGTGCTTACACGCTCACATTCTGTTTAACGTAAGGACGGTGCTAGTTACATCACATAGAGGCTGTTGCGCGCCGTAGACCTGCTGAATTGTCTTATCTATGTACCCGGAAGGCCACGACACCTTCGCGAGATGTTTCCGTACAATGGGAGACACGCGTAGAGCCCTTTCAAGCCCCCCACCTGACAGATGACTACAACGTCATACGTGCCACTTATAGATAGCAGGAGCTTATCGCTCTTAAGCAACCGTGCAACTTCTCACGTGACGCGCGACGATTTATTTCAGGGTAAAGACCTGCCGGCGAAGGACTTGTCGGGCACCTCTGATCCGTACGTACGTGTCACGCTGCTCCCGGACAAGAAGCACCGGCTCGAGACGAAAATCAAAAGGCGCACGTTGAATCCGCGATGGAACGAGACGTTTTACTTCGAAGGTGAGTCTTCCGAGACCGCGCTTCGCGCATGAATCTTCGTGCAATTAATTAAATTAGATCATAAAGGATCGAGACTAAATTAATCTCAATCCCCAGTCAAGGATGGGGATTAAGTTAATCGCAGGATTATTCTATTTCAAAAGAAAAAGGAGTAAATTTCCTCTTTGTTCTTTGAAAGACCTGCCTGAGGAAGTATAAAAGTCGCGAAATTTATCAATCCTTACAAGTTAGAACTTGGGAAAGAAACTCAAAGAATAAAAGTGGTCTAATAGAACCCGATGATATATCCAAGGTTAATATGGAGTTTCATACAGACATAGCAACGTTCAAGTGTTCTTGAACGTTGCTATGCCGGGCGATCGACGGAAGATAAATGTGAAGCAATTTTGCCTCGCGCAGCGTAGCCAATAAAAATCATATCTGAATGGATTAACCCTTCGAGTGTATGGTGACGCTTCTTGCGAACGTCATACACGGCTCACGATAACGATTATGTGTACAGAACATTTATTTGTTTCTTCATTTAAAGGAAAGATACTAATAGCACACCAGATAATAATAAACAAGATATAGTATAAGAAGGAAGCTTAAGAAGTTTATTCAGTTCAACCAAAATGCATAAAATTACGCAAAAATTTAATGTAATACTTAACGCGGTGAAACACATTCGTAGTTAAAGTTTCATGCAATTTGTATGCATCGTTCGTGGAAAATTTTATACCGAGCATCGCAATTTTACGCTTATAATCTAATATTAAAAGCCATATAAATGACTATTATTCTAGTGTAACTATGTAAAAAATAATACCACTCAAGTAGAGTACTTATAGTTATAAATGTTGCATATTCGGAAAAGCAGCGTAAAAGGAAGTAGCGTAATAGCATGCGCTGCACTGTTTTTATTTAATGGTTGATTGTGGGCCGGAAAACTGCTGTTTTATACTTTGAGTAGAATTGCACCGAGTGAAACGTGGCAAGGTAATATCATGAAATTAGTTTCAAATTAACATTCATTGCTAAATAGCGAAATAAGTACATAGAAACGTAATTTTGTTCCATAAACAGAGAATTTATGAGTAGCTCCCTTGATGCGCCACTGAAAACACGCCCCTGGGGCGTCTCGAGAATACCTAGCGAATAAACTCCTTAAGAGCAAAAAAAGAAGTTCGAAAGACAAAAGAAAGTTTCTTTTGTTATTTAAGATTCCTTTTCTTATTTAAGATAAATATCTTCAATTAGATCACTGCTGCGAACCTCTCACTTACGCTGAACCAAATCGAGTGTTTTCGCTCCCTTCGGATCTAGAACACAGGGACATTCGTCGAGCGTGCATATACCGTTCGCATTCGCATCACTCGAGGGGTTAAATCAGCCGAAGTGGAACGGGCTGCAATAGGGCGCGACGGAGCGTCATCCGAAAACGCGGACGACGCGGTCGGGGCGAAATTTCCTCGACGAGATTGTGCGATAATTTAATAAACTGTACGTATGTTTACATCAATCACGCAGGTTTCCCCATACAGAAGCTGCAGAGCAGGGTGTTACATCTGCACGTCTTCGACTACGATCGATTCTCGCGGGACGACTCCATAGGGGAAATGTTTCTGCCGCTTTGCCAGGTAATTTGACGGGACGTGCCCGCTCGCAATTTGCACGGCTCAATTATTACGCGCGGTAGACGCGAATTAAGGGATTCTCGTGCGGGGCCCGATGGCGATGGAATTCACGGCGGATATGTGGATAATCTGACGTGCCGTTTCGCGCCTTACGTCTGTTCCGATCGGCTTCCGCGCGGCTCCCTCCGTTGCGTAATTATTTATCATCGTCGATCGTGGCATCGTAATCCGAAGGACGAACTGTCTAATTAAGCGATCGACCGTGCCGCGAGGGAACGTCGGGAGGAAGTCGTAGAGAACACGCGTTCACCGCTCTTCAAATTCCTTGAAGTGGAATCTCACTCAAATCGAGCGAAAAGTGGCAACGTTTTCACTCCAGACAATCGTGAAAAAGCTGCCGCTGGAAATCGCAAGAGTGAGCGCTTTACTCTAGCTCAGAGTGAATTCTGACTCCATGAAGGCGAATGTCTCAGTCGACAGTCGCTCTATTTCGAAACGAAAAGGATTGCATATCATAAATATGTAATATACAAATTGTGATATGCAAGCAAGCTTACAATCCATATAAAGCTTATAAGCTGCCAAATCGATAGAATATTATCGATATAGCGACTTGAATTCCCGAATTTCCGAAACGTTCTACTTCGTAAATTCGCGCACATTTAAGCGAAACGGATACGACCTTGCTTTTACGTGTTATTCCGAGAACCAGTTGAATTTCCGCTTCTTACATGCACATGCGGTGTAATATAATGGTGGTAACGGTGTGATGGTAGTGGTGAGTTTTAATTCACTAATCGTGTCACGATACCGCTTAACGACCCGACTGTCCGCTCTGCAATATTAGCGAACGACGAGTTAATCCACGCGCGTAATAACATCGAGATACGTGGGCATTATAATTCACGCTATGCACACATTCATTTCCCAGGAGCAATCCGCGATACATGCCGACGTTGCGAATCGGACACTCCCAGCGTCTCGCGAGCGTCGCGTATAAGAGGATTTCAAGAGGAAATCCTCCTCCTTGTCAATATTACGGCCGCGTACGCGTCGTGTCGAAATAATAAAGTAATACAAATTAAGTGGCGCGACAGGAGAGAATCGCGCCAAATAATTCGTTTCGTTGCGACTCAAGAGGACCGACGCACAATCGAATTCGGAATCGAATTCTGCGCGAGAACGATTCGTGTCGCGCGGCTTGACGGGAGGCCTGCTCGATTCCGAGGCGTGTTTACATTGCATACGCCGCGTTCCTAATTCGCAATGTACGTAATCAATTAACTATTTCGTCTGGATATGATCGCTCCGGATGGAATACGTAATTGGATCGCGTTCGCTGCATTTCCCAATAAGAGGCAAACGTGACGCAGATAATAACGATAACCTGCGGCGAGCGTTTCCCAAGAGACCGTCTAATTTTTGGCGAGGCGTGCACGCACGCATGCACGCACGTACGCGCACAGCAGAAAACTCTTCGTTTCCGCTTTAATTACGTTGTTTCTCGAGCGTTATATCTCTTTTGTCGCGATAATTACGCGCCGTTTAATTCGCGGAAGTAGCCGGCCTGTAGGAATTAATTAAAACTTCCCGTAACGAAGACACGAATCGAAAGTATGCCCTCTTTTTTCCTCCCTCCGTCTCAAGTTTTGCACTTCGAAGTTTCATTCGTTAATTGCGCCGGCAAGTTAAGTTACACGATGCAGCAGCAGTACGGTATATCGGCGATATCGCGCGGATTTGCTGCAGGTCGACCTGTCGGAGAAACCATCGTTTTGGAAGGCTCTAAAGCCGCCAGCTAAAGACAAATGCGGAGAACTCCTGTGCTCGCTTTGCTACCACCCGAGCAATTCCATACTGACGTTGACCCTCTTGAAGGCGAGGAATCTCAAGGCTAAGGATATCAACGGAAAATCAGGTATGTAACTCGACAGTTGTCGCGTCGCTCGTTTATCCTCTCGTGTCCGTTCGCTGTACCCGTTCTGTACAAATGGGTTGCAAAACCGCTTAGACACAATGAAATTGGGGCTCACCAAACTGTCAGAATTGAGAGTCATTACTGACAGACTTACGCAATTATAAAATAATTAGCAGCATAATTAATAACTCTATGAATAATAACAAATAATTATAATACTATAATGATAATTAATAATATAATTAGTGAGCAAGATCATCATTAATGACTCAAATTCGACAATTTGGTGAGCTCCCAACTTCACTGTCCGAGCCATTTTACAACCCATTGTACAAGAACAATGATAACAGGTCATAGTTATGCAAGAATCCAATTCACAAAATTATGATTTTTTAATTCTTGCTACCAATGACTATACGTTTTTCTATATAAAACAAAAATAATACGTTTTTCTATATAAAACAAAAATGATACAAGTTTTTTATGAGCGCCTAAAATTAAATAAAAGCAATTTTTATTTTCTAGTAGTTGCGCTATTTTTCACTAGTTGCGTCGTTTTTGTTTATTTTTTAAGAGTTTCGCTTAAACACTATTGAAGAGAAGAAAATTCAGTATACTTGATTTCTTGAACGCCTGCGAAAAATCTCAGTATTGTCTATAGAAATCTTGTGTCAAATTTTTATCTTCATTTTTTCTGAGACTTACTCTATGTAGATTGAATCATGCTTGCGTAACTATGACCAATTATAATGATGATGATGATAATCTAACGAAAAGAATTATGTCTCCCGAGACGCGAGATATTCTTCTTAGGGACACGACGTGTATTCCACGCTACATTTGTTCGTTTGTATCGTTTGCGAGTTTGCATGGAAGATGGAAAACTCGAAATCGGTGAGCGTTCATAACGAAACATTTGCAATTTCAGATCCGTACGTCAAAGTATGGCTGCAGTTCGGTGACAAGAGGATCGAGAAGCGCAAAACTCCAATCTTCAAATGCACCTTGAATCCGATATTTAACGAGGTATTTTCCTTTAACGTACCGTGGGAGAAAATCAGAGAGTGCTCCTTGGACGTGATGGTGATGGACTTCGACAACATTGGACGGAACGAACTGATCGGTCGGATTCAGCTCGCAGGTATTTCGAGAACTTTGCAATAACGTTATCCCTCTGTTACACGAGATCGCGATCGCCTCTCTCTCCATGGTCGATTGTCGAAAAAACGCAGAAGTTTCAATCGATACTCAGGCTCTAAGGTAACGTGCTAATACGATAAGCTCCTCGCAAAGTTTCGTTATTTCGAGCAATGGCATGGATACACGGGCGATTCGATGGAGTTACACTCCTGTTGGGCACGCATGTCCATAGACATCTATAATATATTTGAATCTCGTTATATACTTTTTGGATGTACCCAAAAGCTATATTTAAGTAATCTATTAGTGACGAACTTGGTAATTGATTGGAATGTAATTACTTTACAAATATAAAAATTGTCCGCCTATTGTACATTATATAAGTCTAAGGAGCCAATATTCACTGATATTTTATAAATGTCTGTGGGCACATTGCTCGAGAAAGTTGTTAGGAGCACGCTTTCAGTCTTACTGAAGAAATTAATCGGCTCGAGTGCGCGGAGCGTTTAATCCTCTATACTTACGGTTAGGTTCACCGTCACGCGTCCGGGATTAGCGTCCGGCCACCTGACCCGGCATACTCAACCGATAGATATCCGATAGTTTGCCTCGTGACTGCGAAACAATTGGGATTTGAATGAAATTGCCTCAGAGCCGCAGCGGAGCTAACTCTCGTTCGACTCGTCTCGGACGAGCGCGCGATAGCGGGTTGAAAATTCTGGCAAATCGCGCCGAATAAGAAATTCAAGTACGGCGGTGTGCAGTGTACGCGTAAATTCTTTTCAGGAAAGAATGGAAGTGGCGCGAGCGAAACGAAGCATTGGCAGGACATGATCACAAAGCCGAGGCAGACCATTGTGCAGTGGCATCGCTTGAAGCCCGAGTAAAGGACACGCTTCCCTCTTGATCCACGATAAAACGATATTCTGTCGAGCGAGTTCCCCCGAATGGACAACGCCCGTCGCCGTCGCCGCCGTCGTCGTCGTTGCCGTCGCCGTCGTCGCCGTCGTCGTCGTCAGCGTTGTCGTTGAAGATACCTTAACGAGGCAACTATTTTCCTTTTGCTCGATATTCCCCGCAACTGATCTCCTCGCAAGTACCACCTGACGACTGTACGATATTCCCCCTGCATCGCGTAACAAGACGCTCCGAGCGACGCTGGTCGTCGCGGAGCTGTTACAGGTCGTTATCGCTCGTTGTCGGTCGACCCATCGTCGTGTATCAGCGTAACGAGTGATAACGAGTGAATGAATCGTCTCACCTCCGCGTTACCGAGTGCGTCCTTGCCGGTTGGACCAAGAGAGAGAAAGACACGCCATGGTGCGTCCAACCGCAGATGTTTGGTACCGCCGAGATCGATCACGAGGGTTGGTAGCATCGAAAACTTGGCGAAAACACAGCCGGAAACGGCTGCGTTGCTTCCATGGCGGCGTTTCTACACATCGAGAGAGAAAGAGGGAAGTAAGGGAAAGAGAGAAACAGGAAGAGCAACAGCGGTTGTGGGCGATCAGCGAGATATCGAAAATTTGTCGAGGCTTCGTAGTCGGGTACGTTGAAAATGCCGCTCTTTCTGTTTCGCCACCCTCTCTTCTTCTCCATCCTCCCATGCGTTTATCACGCAGCCGCCCGGCGCGGCGTTTAGCGATACGGAGACTGCGAAATTATACCGTGGCTAATCAGCTCTCGCTCTCGCTGGGACGATCCGAGCGTGAGTCCTCCAGGCGACACGAGCGTCCGTGCTTCCTCGGGTTTCGAACCCCCCACGGACGTTGCGCGACGACGTCACTCGGAGGCTTCATGGACTTTCGTGTCGTTTGAGTTTATGGGCGCTTGTGCGGCGAGATTACGTCGGAATATTGTCACGAGACTGTAAAACACGGAAGGGGCAAGCGGACGAGGGAGATACGCTCTATTATTTACGAGAGAGAGAAAGAGAGGGAGAAAAAGAGAGCGAGAAAAAGAGAGAAAGCCGTTATCTTTGAGGATAAATTAGTATTACAGCACGTGTAATATCAATTTAGAGATGTGATAGTTCTTAGCGAGGTTCTCGTCTATACAGACGGAGAGTCTCTACGTTATAAAAATATTACATTCCGCTATACTGTGATCATTAACTTGAGATTAAAAGGAGAGAGTGGAGAGAGGAGAGAGAAAAGGCGATAATTGTAAAACAATATCGTTGAGATATCGCGTTCCTTCGCCTGCCCCTTCTTGAATCATCTGGTCGGGGAGCGTTACTTCGCGTCGAGACCTCGCAGACCAAAGCCGACGGAGCTCGCTGAAAGCACGAGCGCCACTTCAACACGATATAACGACGAGTCACGAATTTACACAGCTCGTAACATTTATATTTGTAAGAGATATTCTTACAGTGTTGCGTATCAAAATTATACACGGTTATCTGTTACGTCGCTCTTTCGCCTTGACGCATTTTATATTTTTATAGTTTTTGAAGTACTTCAACACGCAGCGCATCTTGAGAATCCAGAAGTGACAATATCCTTCGATTGTTTGCGGCACAATTAACAATGACCCTGATTTTCGATCGACGAATTGGTTTGGCGTTTCGCAAACGTTCAAACGTCTGCGTAGCAGACGTATGTACACGCGGTTGCACACAACTTACACAAATATTCCCGACAAACGCGAGGAGATCCGAGGAGGAGGAGGATCCCGCACGATACCATGTCCTCGGAGATCGCCGCTTGTTATCATCCTTCTCTCACGATTGTGATTGTACGTGCGAGTTACTCGAGTATTCGGTCGCGTCTAAGGTCTGCATTGATGGTCGTTACCTGAAACTCACCTCGCGTGAGACACTCGGATTGGAATTTAGAGTTAGATGTGAGTTTTTCGGCTAAGTCGCAATGGTTCGACGAAAAAGCTCGGATCCAATTCTAAATGATTGTGGATCCGAGTTATCTCACGTGAAACAAAAGTTTTAGGTAATAACTGTTAATACGGATCTAAAAACGGTACACATATATCGGCGGAGGCGAGGTGGCCTCCACGATCCCATCGAGATTTACATTCAACGTGGCTTTCAGAACTACTCTGCTAACAAAGTTTCGAAACCTGCGCGACCTCATCGAGGGCAACCTTACTTACGTGCTGCAGTTATTTACAGGCGATTCCTCCGTGTACCACTTTTCGGGATAATCCGGTTTAGAGTGGACTTTTAGAAGTTAACTTCGCTCGAGGCTCGTTTCGGCTTTACGCGCAATTTTCTTTCCATTTTCTGGCGAGAGCACGTGTGACTATTAATTTCGACGCGAGCAAAACATGTGTACTGACGCGGCCGTTAAGATAGCGCTAAGTTTCATAGAAAAAAAAAGAGAAAAACAGAAAAAACAAAAGAATCGAACGTTCACAGACGTAATGGATATTACAAGCAGTAGTTTCCAACGTTGATATCTTTGTGATGTAGGACGCTTCGAGACTGTGAGAAAAAAAGAACAAAACGGGCGGAATAATAAGTAATAACGTAAAACTGTTATACACACTACCAGAGCGTGTCCTTCCCACGGGCGAGCATTTTGGGGTAGTCCGTAGAAGACAAGCGACATCCTAGTAGGGATGGGCAGTCACGCGAATTATCGATTTTAATTATCAAAGAATAGGCAAGATGAAAAATGGATAAAAGAAGCACACATTGAGGAATCACGCAGACCCGACTATCGCAGAATTAAAGTCGCGCGAATTACAAGACAAGGATAAGCCGAACACGGCAGCGAGTAGTCAGGAAAGCCTCTCGGCGCTTTCTAATGCGGCAGCGTAAAAACGGTGCAAAGACAGCGTGAAATTTACGGACAGGAACGTTCTGGTTTACATCGGGGCCATCTTCGACCTTATCACATTGCACTGAGCTGATCTTTCTGGTTACGCCAGTCTGCTTGCGTCGGTCTTTAGTGGAGATCGCGTGAGTTTGATTTAAAAGTGCGACAACTAATCGCAATTCGCTGAATCGGAGTGATTTTCAACACATTGCCAAAACGACGGGCCGTAATTATTACACGACAGTGTAAAAACTTCAAAGCTCTTTACCAGGTAGAGAGAGAGAGAGAGAGAGAGAGAGAGAGAGAGAGAGAGAGAGAGAGAGAGAGAGAGAAAGAGAGAGAGAAAGAGAGAGAGATACAAATGACGACGAACGAGAGAAATGAAAGATGGTGGCGGGGCCCAGTACCTCTATTTCATGTGAGAGAGTTTTCAAAATTTTTATACTTTTATTCGATAGAGAGAAACGGGAATTGAATAGCGAATGTAATCGGCTGCACACATGATTAGATTCAATTTGCCGTTTGTTATCGAGTCGCTTCTTGACATTGACGACTTTGACGTATTACGAGTTACTCTTGCGCGAGCGGTAGTACATAGTATTGTTTGTCAATTTGTCAATTTAATGACGTGTAAGCGAGATTATTCGACAAGAGCAAAAGAGAAAGGAAGACGGAGAGAAAAAAAAAGAGATTGAATCAGTGACTGGTTTTCCAAATCAAAACCAAAGGATTCGTTGTCAAACAGCCGATTTGCCCATCCCTACTTCCTTGTTAGTTACGCTTGGCTAGCGTTGATCGTGATTACCGAAGTAACTTACACGAATCCTCTTTGGCGTGACTTTTGATTATTATTAAAACCCGATAAAAGAAAGAAAGAAAGAATGAGCGAAAGAGAGGAAAGAGAGAGAGAGAAAGAGAAAGAGAGAGAGAGAGAGAGAGAAAAAGAAAGAAAGAAAGAAAGAGAGAGAGAAAAGGATATTTTTGACGGCACTTTTGTATCGATAAAATCGGGGCGACTTTTTTGGGATTATTCACACGCTAAAGTACGATTGGTGTACGCTCTTTATACACCGTAAAGAAGAAGAAAAAGAAGGAGAAAAAGAAGATAATGTTACGTTATACCTGATAGTCTGCTGTTGTTAACAATAATATAGAAACGAGTCAAATTCACGCGCGAATTTGCTCGGTACACTCGGAGAGTGTACGTCGTTGATGGAAAATAAAGGGACAAACGATTCATGTTATATCTAAACCAAGTTTAGCGTTAAGCGTCGCTCGCGTCCGGGAAAATCGTTGGAGAAAGCGTCTGATATTAATTGGTGGACTTATCGCGCGGAATTCAATGCATTTAATTAAGTTCCCGCTTCACGTTTGTATTTATTTCGGACATAGAGGAACACAGAGCGACAAGTAACATCGCAATCGCTCGCATTTCGCTTACTCGGAGTTATTTTCATTACTCATCAAGAAAACCGTGAGATGTTCTGCGCGTTTGGTCGTTTTTCACGAAGAATTAAAAGCGGAAACAGAATCCGCGGCAGGATTGAGATCCAAGAGGCGGGACTCGCGAGAGGGATCTCTCTCGCATATTTTCATTTCTTACTTTGAAGCCCACACATACACATAATGCATATCGATCGAGTTTTGCGTTGCCGCCCGTGGCGATAAAGGCAATGGCAAAGGTGCGTACAGAAATGAGTTCACGCTCGTAGCCGTGAAGTTTGCCGTGTAAACTGACGACGTTGTGGTGGAGCGTCGTGTGGAAACTTCACCAGCGATAAACGCTTCTTCCCAATGATCTTTCCAAGCGCGAGTGCGACGCTTTAGTGACATTCCCTCGCGTACAAAACGAGTCACATCGGGATATCGCAGATATCAGAATATCGCGAGAGATTACGGGCCGACAACACGTTTCTTTCTTATGTGTACGTTCGGCGAGATGAGAGTGAGAGAGAGAGAGAGAGAGAGAGAGAGAGAGAGAGAGAGAAAATAGGAGTATCTCATTATTAAAGGGTTCACCCTTCCCCCGTCGTCCTCGCTCCCCGCTCCCTCAACTCCACACAACTTCCTTTTACAATCGCGATAAAAATATATCCCGGAAATATTTTTACATTTAAGCGTTACATTTGGGTCGAAGGTGTTATCGATTTTTCGTAATTACAGCAGCCTTCTACCGCGTGTACGCGGAAGAGAGATGATACTGTAGAGATTAGCGAGACACGGAGAGAGAAAGCGCGAGTAAAAGAATAGTCTATTATATATAATATATATATATACACACATACACGCACACACGCGCACACATACATATACAAACATACACACACATATACAAATATATACATACAAAATGTGAGTAAATGGTTATACTGGTATATATTATATGCGGAAGTATCGAGTAGCACAAGGATTAGATTAATATTTGTATGTCGTAGCCTGTATACACATTGTATATATATAAGGTACAGAGTGTTTCCCGGTTTACGTCGTATCACGTTAAAATGATGGTATAAACATGGGTACTTCGAAGTTCGTTACCGTAAGAGAAACAAAAGAGGAACTTAGCAAGACCTTTACCGTTAAATAAGTAGGATCGTTCTTAGCGTTCCGCGTGTTACACAGGGTGTTAAAGAAAAAAAAAAGTAAATAAAAATGATACGATCCTCCTTCTCTTAGTCGCCTCGGTTCGGTATATGCACTTCGAAGTTATTCCCCGCGCGTGTGTTGAGTTACGATCCGGTGAGTTTTACGACAAAACAGACCCGACTGATATCTCGGCTCGGAGCTTATCGGTTTACCGTAATCATATCTCTTGCCGTTCCCTTCCCTCCCTTTTCCTTTTTCTCATTCTCCCTTTTGTCTCTGTTCTTTTTGTTTAAGTTCCCTTCTGTTTTATTATTTCAGTCAAGAGTCCATTCGATTCCTCTGTTCTGTCGAGAGTGTATCGACACGTTTGACGTGCGCGCTTTTTTGTATCGAAGCGACTTTCCCGGCCGCTTCCCGTGCGATCATAACGCGAGAACAATAAGGTGCCAAAAGAATTTAGAACACGTAAGATCACCCTTCACTCGCTGATTACGTCACGCGAGTCGCGTCATATGCGTTGACAGGGGCAGAAAGACAAGTACGCGCGATGGCACTTGTGCGATCGAAGGAATTACGGGTACTTGCGCGTTTCATTTTTGCACGAGTAACCCGCGCACGATTCATGCACGAATCAGAGACATCAGGTGCGCGTCCAAGCTGTCCTCGCTTCGCCAAGGTGGAAGCACGCGAGCCACTTAGCGAGTCGAGGCTCGGAGTCTTCATTACGTAGCTGTATTTCTTTCCTTCGAAATTAAAACGTGTTAGTTTACGTTCCCGCTGAGAAAATTTCTACGCTCCATCGATGCGTGTGTCGCATCGCGCGATACGTGTATCATACTCGAAATGCGGATTCGGTTTTCACGAATCGGTACAACACGTACGGAAGAAACGTTTGGTCGGATCAACCAAATTTCTGCTGAAGGACGAACGAATCAGAAATTTTCGCTTGAAGTTATCAGAATTCTGTTCGAAGTAACCAGAAATCTTATCCAAAACAGAATTCTGATAACTTCAAGAGGAATTTTTTGACTCATTCGTATGTCAGCAGAGATTCAGCTGATCCAACCAAACGTTTCTTCCCGTGTAAGTCGCACGCGCGTGCAGCCTTGTGTAAATAACTGAGTGGGTCAAATCAATCATGACTTCGCGTAACTCGGGTTGTTTTCCCCAGAGCATCCGACTGATAGAAGTCCGTTAGACCGAAAGAAAAATTGAGTATTCCCGACATTTGTCATCGCAAAACGTCCGTTCCTCCCCCCCCCCCCCCCCC